AACCGAACCTCATATACACCTTATGATTAGAAAATAGCTACTCAATTCAGTCAAAAGAGAAATCCCTGACAACAGACCTGTTCCGGTTTGAGATGTAGACGCGCATGTCCTTGGCACCGTCGGTAACCTTGCATGTTCTCTTGTCTGCATCAAGTTCGTATCCCTCTTCGCAACTGAAATAACAATATAACATAAACAAAAACAATAAACACTAAAAAATAAAGAAAAAATAAAACAAATAAGACAAGACAAATGAACGTAGAATGTAGCACTTGACAACGCAACGCCTGTACCCACGGGTAAACGCAAAGTCCAAGATTTTTGGTCGAAATTTAGCTTTTTTTTCCGAAAGAAGTGCAGGGGTGCGCAAGCGGAAACACGTATACAACATTCGGGATGAACTGGCAAGGTCGAGTCGCTAAGGCCTTATAGGATGCAGCTTTTGGCCCCACCAACATCGACTGCTCCTCCCCCCCCCCCCCCACATTAGCGCTATTTCGCTTTGCTGCCACTGGAGAAAGGATCGTTTTTTCGGCCATGCCAATGCTTCTCCTATTTTTTCACTGCTGGCGTTACCTTAACACCCTCCACTTTCAGCCTTGCAAATCAATAACACATCGTTCGATCCCGGTCTTTAGGCTTTGAACAGTACGCGATTAAAAATAAAAGAGGAGCAGCATAGGGGAAAGCAATATGCACCGCACAAATCAGTTAGCTTGGCGGCTCAGGGGAAGGGGGAAAAGCTCTCACAACGAAGGTGTGCTGGTTGCTGACAGTTTTCGACAAGCGCTCGGCGCCCACTAGTTTACTTGTGATGTGGACGAGCTGCGTGGCCAGCAGCGGCGCAAATGGAGTATCCGATTGAAGCGTAGCCTGGCACGGTGCCATTAAACGCGTTGCGGTGAACTCCTCCATACGTCCATTTTCTGAGCTGTTACCTGTTCATGAGTGAAAACCAACGGCCAAAAAGGGGTCCCGTTTTGCGCATTCCTTGACGGATTTTTCTGCTTTTTTCGCTTCTGGCGTACCACTTAGCACCACCGCGTCACACTAAACCCTTCTTGAATTTATCGTGATCGCTGCCTTTAAGGTCAGAAGATAAAATGAAATTGTTCACCTGCAGGTGAAGCCATGCTTCTCATCGGTGCACTTTTGCGAACATGAGCTTGAGTCGAGGCATTCGTTCTCCGGCTCACATTTCGTCTTGTTCACCAACTGAAAACATCTTTTCAGTATTAATACGAAAATATTCCAGTGATATGACAAACAGTACCTGTTCTCCGAAAGGACAACTGCAGAGCGGTCCGTTGGGACTGTTATGGCATTTGAAAGCACAATCGGCTCGATCAGCAGAGCAAAGATCACGAGCGCATCTTAACATTGTGAATGATACCTTTAGAAGGTCTTAAGCATAAATAAAGCACACAAAGCTTATTAGGTACCTGCCACCCTCGTCAGTACCACCGGGGCATTGTTCTTTACCGTCGCACAGCTCCGTGAGTGGTATGCAAACGTCCGGTGATCCCTCCATGGTAGCGGCATTAAAATTCTGAATATTTATATGGAGATCCTGCTAAAGTTCAAAGCTTGAGTTTACCTGCTCAAATGGACAACGTCTGGTGATCTCTGACTTCTTACAGCCGTTGATAGCCGACTCATCCGAGCCGTCACCGCAGTCATTTTCACCATCGCAGAGCCATGACTGAAATATTAAGGGATCTAATAATTCGGAGAGTTGGCTATTTTTGATGGAATTATTGATATAATGATCTGTTTGGGTGATCACAGCGCCCGTAACAAAACAGACGGCAATTTGCCTAGATTAGCTAGACGCAATCCCAAAGTACGGGGACATCCTCTAGATCGAACCAGATGAAACCGTACTAGCCAGATTTTTTGATCTTATTCCAGGAACATTCCTTTTGATTTTAACGACTCAGAGCAGTACAATATTGAGACTCGCTTAAATTATTAACAAATTTGGCGCTATCGCAAGGTACAGGGGCCTTTTTCCAGTACTGGAATCTGAGAGAGGGCAGGAAGTTTGGGGAAAATGAGAATTGTCAACGCATGCTGGATTTGCCTAACGTATAATCTTGTTTCCGAAGGGAGAAGACTTCTTACGTGGTTTCAAATGCATTGCCACTATAATGCCGCCGTCTTTTGCTATAGCGCTGAATAATTATGCATTAAAGGGGGGGGGGTTAGGTATGCAGTGAGGGGAACGACAGCCGACACCTTGTACGCCTCGACGACTGAACCGTGCCTAGACGGGGCACTTCTGTTTTGGGAAACGGTACCTTGTACTGGTTTATGAGAACATAAAAACCAACATAAACATTGGATGGTCTTCGCGGCTGGTCAGAAAGGCGCATAAGTTTCGCCAACGATTTTGAATCAAGGCGACATGTAGATGCGTGGCGCATCCCTGAGGGACCAGCAAGGGTCAGCGTTTTTTCTTGCGATTATCGGTACTTCTATTTGCATTGCCTCATTTTGACAGAATTCTATGAAGATTCAGACCACAACTGAATACAAGATAAATAATAATAGCAATAATTAGCATATGCGTCATCAAAAAAATGGCCAAATGTGACTGTTGTTGAAAAAAAACAGGGAAATATCCGTGAAATAAAGCTCCAAAAAATAAACGTACATTGAGGATACAGCGTCCATTAGCACACTTGAAATGATCGTCTTTACATGTGCTTGCTGTGCAACCGTATGCCGGCTCATCAGATCCGTCATCGCAGTCCTAAAGTTCACAATATTATTTTTTAACAATTTTTTTATTTTTTTAACAATATTTACTATTTTTATTATTATTAGTTTGTTTAGCGAAAGCTGAGGAGCATAGTTGTCAAGGAGGTCACCTTTTGTCCATCACATTTCCATGCAGCAGGAATACAAAGACCGCTCGATTGACACTCGAACTGCTCCGAGGTGCAGGTGTTTTGCTAAAATTAGTTTTTACTAACAATAAGACTGGAGCAAATCACTTCAGTTTCACACGTACAAAATGGCTTGGGACCGTTTTAAGCCCCGAGCTGGGTAGAATATCCCTCAGTAGTTCTTATGGCAGTGAACAGGATAGGCCGTCCAGTACCGCAGTGGCTAGACCCCCTCTCGATGCCCTCACAAACGATGCCCAATTGTGTCCGCCTACCAGACATCGCTTTCACAACCTTGAAAAAAGGTTTCAAGGAAGGTTTGAGTACCTTACTAACTAGTTTATGAACTAATTTATAAATTCGATTTTAAGTTTTTTTTTTCGAAGAAAGCCGGCTTCCTCCACTATGTAAGCACCATTCGTACAATGTACATATTCTAGGGCTAGGGTAGAGAAGGTTTTTCAATCCTGTTAGTCATGAAGGTATGATTTTAGCCCCACACCTGGTATGATTATCATCATTATCATTATTGATAATTATTGTGTATTTTCTAAGAAGGCTAAAAAGAATGGGAAGATGACAAGCACGTACCGGATTTGGGAAAATGAAAAAAAATGGGAAAGAAAAGCACGAACCGGATTCAGGCAACTGTCCTCATCAGAGCCATCTTCACAGTCATTCTGCCCATCACAGTGGTTTCGCAGGGAAATGCACTGTCGTCCGTTGGCACACCTGAGAATATGATTTCAAGGGATCTCTGAGGTTGAGCAGAATATCTTCAATATCTGGCTCAAAATAGGTTTCGCCGCCTTTTTATGATAAGATGCGTTTTGAATCCAGCTATAGAAGACTGATGCTCAGCTAAAGAAGTGTTTATCCTTTAAAGAAGTGTTTATAAGAAAAATATTCTGCATAGTATTTCATTTAATGACCTCAAAACGATAGCAGTATTCGCTGGAATCCCATTTGGTTCCTTCACTTTCTAGAGTTCAGTGGGGAGCCCTGTACCCCAGAGGTGCAGCAGACCGATAATCCAGCCATTCTTTCCTCTGATCGACTCACCTGAACTGATCGCTGCGGCACTGTGTCGGTGGGCAACGTTCTTTATCCTCATCGGTTCCATCGTAGCAGTCATTGTCGCCATCACAGAGCCAATAGATCGGAATGCATCGTCCGTTGGCGCAAGAAAACTAAAGTGGAACCATTGATGTTTGTCAAAACCATCATACTTTCAGTTCGGTTCTCTTCAGGATTCTCCAAAATTATCAAATGAACCCACTCTACTTCAAAAAGCGAAAGAATCCGCAGAAGACTACTTTATTGGAATACTGTATGTAGTGAGACTGCACCTGGTTGACAGCACATGTGGCATTTGCGCAGAACTCGAGCTTTTCATCGGATCCATCGCCACAATCGTTGTCCGAATCGCATTTCCACTGTTCCGGGATGCATCTGCAATAGCCGCAATGAGTTTACTAGCTCTACCATTGACTAGGTTGCAGACGTTAACCACCTGTGATTGTCGCATTGGAATTTCTTCGCAGAACACACCGGTTTCTGGCCGTCTTTACAGTACTGCGCATCTTCATCCGAGTAATCGCCACAGTCGTTGTCTCCATCACAGCCATACTGTGACGGGATGCATTTTTTGGTGTTCTTGCAGCGGATCGTGTTCTCTGGGCACTCTATCTGCAAAGGCTTTCATTGAATGTAGGGCAGTGAACAGGATGGCCTAAGGAAGGAACGGTCTGAATTAAGGCCTTTTACGCCATTGGCAAAACAGAAACCTCAGCGCGCTAGGGTGATTAAGGCTAATCCAAGTCCCTTGCATCAATGACGTCATCAAAACCGCTCCGCCCTCCAGAAACCAAGATCGCTGCCTTTAAGACCGCGTGGCAATTTAGCTACACGTTTCAGGTAGATGAGATGGGCAGGTTCACTGAGCCACTGGGCTATACAACCTGGTCCCTATTCTAGAAAAACAGGGGAGGAGCAGTAATGGAGTGCGCCACAAGAATGGAAATATCCGTTCATACGGCCACCTCGGAGCGTGGTTTTCAGGCTATTGACCAGTGATTAGAATGAAAGCGTAGTTCTGAAGGGTCTAATGTTCAACAAATGTAGGGTAGTTAAAATTACGTGTCTATAGCAGCAAATGAGTTCAACGCTCGATGAATCTTGGCATACTGTGCGGTATCGGTCAACTAGTGCTCGTAATCGTATCTACAACGCTCCCCCTGTGCTTCTAGTCTACGGGGACAATTTTGCAGTTGGAAATAATGTCTGCAGTAGGACGCACTGATCTGGAATTTTTAGGCTCTGACGGAGGCAACCAAGCCGAAACGTTAGCCAGTCAAAGTTCTGTCTCGTCTTGTCTGTGGCTTTAAAACAAGCTTAAGAAAAATGCGGGGCCATAATTTCAGAAAAAGCTCTTCACAATTCAGATCAAAGAAATTGATAAATTCTGATCTTCTTTTCACATAGTCCGAACATCAGGTCCTCTTGATGGGTGTACTGCAACCGTTCAACCAGGAAGAGGAAGTATAAATACAACAACCTACTAGGTGAGAAACCCCCAAAACAGCTAAAAAAAGGCCAGTCACCATGTCAACATCGTTTCTCAAGGCAAGATAGGAAGTAAAAACTCAAGTCAAAGACCTCATGATAGCAGTTGTTTCCTGAAGTGTCCACCTCGTCTAGATCCCGTCCAAGCAGATCATCTTGCTCCGCTCGCATTTCCATTCTCCTCGTATTGACAAACGACCTTATTGCACTGAAAAGGCCCCAGGTACTAGGCCTGGTTTGGAAGGTGAAGCGATGCACAAAGTTTGAGGACTCACTTGGAATTGAGTCGCATTGGAGGTGCAGAGCGGTTCTGGCTGCTCTGAGTTGTCCTTCTGGCATGTGTTTCCAGTTTCTGGGTTGATTTTAAATCCTAAATTGGAGAACAATCGGATTCAAAAAAAAAAGGGCACAGGGAGCATCCGTTACACATTTCACTCAATCACTTTTCTTTCGTACAGTTTTTGTCGCACACTATGCTCAGCAATCTTCATTTATTTGCACACTTCTTTTCATTCCCTCATTATGCGGCGGAGCTGCAGACACGATGAAATAGCAGGCAACTGGTTGAGGCAGGAAGAGTGTAGTAAAAATGTGGCTTAAAGGCAGGGGACACTATAAATTGTATGATGAAGAAAGGCAAATATACTATTATTCAGGAGAGTTGGGCCCCAGTATGCGAAACTTGGCACTTTTGCGGGGTCATGGCGCGCCCGGCAGGCTAGTAAGGCCTTACCTGTCCCTTCAGACGCCTCGTCCCTCTCCCAGCCCACCAATCGGATACCACAGCAGCAAAACCCTTGCCATCGGACTCTAGCCGCTTCAGCAGAGAAGCAGAGAAAAGTGCTGACGCTGATGACGTCGGCTTGCCCAAAGCCCAGCTCAAAAGACAAAACGAGGGTCCCTTTCTGTGGGCATTAGCCCACTTCTCTCAGTTTTTTCTTCGCTGCCACATCTGCTTGCGACTATGATTTTGTTCCCACAGGACCAACTTATAGTACCACTATCTTTAAATCAATTTTCGCGCACACGGTACGACTGAAAGTACGTATCGTCGCGTGGTGACCTCCTTCTACACACCCCTTATCATCAAGCCTGAATCATTTACCTGCGTCTCGTAACTTTTAAAATAGTAGCTTTCTCTCTTCCAGTAGCCTCATGTCGCCCCGCACCGTACACCAATGCTCAACATAGCTTTCTATGACCTTTCATCGCCTACCTTGTCGACATGCACATTGAGCGACGAGTTTCGGTGCGTCGTTCGCGGACGAGTTGTTCGGTACAGCGAAGCATAACTGTGCGCATTGCGACGCGTGGCATGGGTGGTCTTGTGAGTCTTCAGGGAATCGGCTGATTCGAGTGGGTACAGGCTGAAATTGTCGATCTTGGTAAGGCATGCTAAAAAGCATGAAAGCACCCACAACAACTAGTCGCACCTTTCAGACTGAAAATGCTCCTCTCCTCGCCGGCAAACTCGCGGATTACTCGACCAGTACCACCGTTCTTCTTGCTGATACGGCGAATCGAATACGGACGCTGATGCACGTAGTACAGATGATTCAGTGAGTTGTGGTCAGCTTACATTGGAACCTTCGAAATCCATGCAGCTGATTGTCTTCAGAAGTGTATCACCCCAACAGAGTCGTTCCTCCTCAAATAACCACACAGTTGGCGCCGTCCATATGACATCTGGAACACAGAAAGAGAAAAATAGGTGGAAATAGGACACGATGTTTCAACATTAGATCGACTAAGGCCCTTATTTTGGGATTTCTAGCCGTTTCACCTAAAAATTGCTTTTATAGGCAAATTATGGAGATGTGAATAGAGTGGTTTGTTTCAAAGCTCAAGCTATTTTTCTGGCATGTTTGAAAACTCATAAAGTCGCTTCATAAGGGTCAGGCACTAAGACTAGAACCTTACTACCAGAGAAGAGTGGGATGGCCTTGTAGGAGTGGTAATAGCATTCGACCTGATTCGCTAGGCCCCTAGGTGGAAGTTTGAAGCTGCACCCAACTATGGTTGTGGGCTAAGAAAAGGACATCTTTGCGCCTCGCTGAGGATCTAGTAGATTTAGCTATGGGTACTTAAATAAGCTCCCATGGAGCAGTACCTGTATATTCGTGCAGGCCTCTGGGCTTCAGCATAGAAGAGAAGTCCCTTCCACGGGTGAATAGCCACAGAGACGGGATCACGGAGGTTCTTGAGCAGTTGGCGATGCATGAGCTGATCTGGATGCACGAGACCGGTGTCGGCAATCTTTACAACCTGGAAAGATACAAGTGTACTCTACGTCCTATGCGCAGTTTGAAAGCTTGAACAATCTGAACTAAATGAATGAATGCTAGTTAATATTCTCACCTCTAAGCTATTTCTGATATTGTCGATATAATAGAGTTGTTTGCTGATCCAGTCGAATGACATCGAAACAAGACCGTCATTGTGCGTCACCAGCACTGGAGCTGACCCTTCACCATCAGGGCGTATCCTAGACATATGTATGAATTAGAGACACCACCGCTAAAAAGCAGGTGGCACAATTGGTCCCCCGTTAGAATAAAAGTCGAGCTACTAATAGGTGCAGAGATGAAGAATAAAAAGTAAACACTCTAAAACGTGTGGAATGGAACACTCGTTTCCCCGCCGATTTGCGCCTAGAGCAAGTTTCAGTGGAGCTGACGTCATCATCGTGAGCAGCCTTCCCTGGCTCTCTGCTGGGGCCGTATCCTATCCCTGTTACGGAGGGTTACCCGCTGCTGATCCTATCCTAGGGTTGGGGGAGACAGCGTTGCGTCATAGGACCAGCCATACTCTGCGCTTCCAGAATCCAGAAAGTGGATCCCTCAGAGGATAATGGTGGGGTCCTTTTTACGGAACCCTATCTCCCCAACCTGCGGATTCGGAATCAGCAGTAGGAAGGACCCTTCCTCAAGCGAAGATAGGGCAACGGCCCCTGATGATGAGACTTGTTAGAGTTCACATAGTGAAGAGACTAGCAGCTGAGGTGGCCAGACGTAGAAAGGTATAGGTAAGGTATTACTAAATCGCTGCGGGCGCTTGTTTCGCCGCAAACATGGTCCCTTAGGAGCTCCAGCCTCCATAGCAGGCGCTTCCCCTTCACAAACATCCAATTATTGTACGACCTGCCCTAAAAGAGGTATCTCGCCGGTTATTTCTATATTTCTCAAAGCCCCTCGAGATTGTGGAACGCAGTTGCCACTATTGTAAAGACGTTCAGAACTAAAAAATCATCATAAAAAAGTCAATGCCGAAGGAATAAAAGCGACACAAAGACCGTGAGTTCTATGTAGTAGGCCGCCCAGGTAGAATCCCTTTGCCAAACTTGTTTTGCATTCTCAACCGGGAATATCCGAAGGGACCGTGAAGTTCCCTTCTTGTGCGGTATCCTGGGGTTTCAGCCTCTAATTTCACCTAACGTTCCTACCCGTACTATTGTGAGTTTGTTATTTCATCGATTTTGTAACTGACCTGGTAGACGGTGTTATCCATGATATCAGCATAGAAGAAACTGTTCCCGTGGACGTCACACTCTACTTCGAAATACATCCCGATACGTCGCTGGGAAATAGGCGATATAGGCAGAATCGCCTCGGATAGCGAGTTGGAAACCTGGAAAAGCCTATTTCAAAAGCAGTCAAAACCCGAAAATATGAGGACGCACCTGATCAGGGAAAATTCCCCGAACGATCTTGTTGCTTGAAAATAGAAGATAATCGATCGAATCGATGCATTTCTTTCCTTCGACCAGTTTCTGCAAGAACAGCCAATTATTTGGCTATTTTTCGAGTACTGTAGAAAATCTACCGTATTCCGAAACAACTATAAGAGGATTGGAACTAGTAGCCTACCTGTCCAATTGGACACGCGCATGTGTATCCAACTCCGAAGCCTCCGGCATCCTTCGACAGAATGCACATGCCTTCACAGTCGGCTGTCGCACACGGGTTATCGATCTTCTGAGCAAGGCAGTCGCTGTGAGATGGTCCTTCAAGAAAATCGATTATTCACAGGTTACTCATGGATCTAAGCGATTCTTACCAGGTTGTGCCATTGGATGGTAAGCAGAGATGCCCATTGGGAACACATTATTTTCCTTGTTGGTCCTGAAAAGATTACCTTCAAAAAATTCCTCAGTGTTCTAGATTGAAGAGTCTGTCCCGAAAGCGCGCATCTTTCCTCAGCCCATCGGCTAGAGGAGCTCAGGCGAATGTAACATTGAAGTTAACGGTAATGACAAAAAAGAGGAAAGGGAGAACTGACCAAATGATTTCTGATGGCGATCCCAAACTTCTCGATCTTAACCACACCGAGGCGGGTCCAGTCAGTCCAGTACAAGTACTGATCAAAGAGTGCCAAGCCGAACGGATGCGGTACATTGTTCATGCCTTGAGCAACAATGCGACGATCATTACCCTAAAAATTGGTTACCTAAGACGAAGATTCATGATTAGGTGCTAAAAGTGGGATTTGGCAGTGAACTCCAGAAAAGGTGCTCATGTCCTTAGTCCCAAGTTCTATAAGCGGCTCACTTCAACATTCCCCTTAACGACTTTGAGCGCCCCGGAAAATTCTCGCACTCACGGTGCTTCTAGTGACTTGACCCATAATAAAGCTTAAATCCCTTTAAGGGTAACCTCTAAAAATTCAGCACTTTGCCATTCATCAAAGGATTTCATGCAAGGATTCATACTTTAAAAACCCCTGAAGCTCCACCACTTTTCTAAAGGGAAGTCGAATGCGTGGCGTATGCTTGAAAAACGACTGATTAAAGCCTTGTGTGTACTTCATCTATAATAAGCCACATAATGGGACCTATTTACCCTCTACTTATTCATCCACACTCCACGGATGAGTT